GGATTAAAGGAAAAAAGCGTAAAATTTTTATCAGAAAAAAAAAAAAAAAAAAAATAGAAAAACCGAGAAAATACAATGGAATACACGAGCTTTATTTTTTCGAAAAATCTAAAAAGACACTGTTTTATATCTAAGAAAAATTACGAATTTGACGAGCTCGATTAGCGTTAATTCCACGACTCTGGACGAGCCTGTCGTTTAACCACTTGCGCTGGCAACTCATTGCGGACCATAACGAGTGACCGAGCCGTATAAAATAATTTGTCGCTTACTCTTTCTTTTAAACTCATGTCGGTGTGATATCACTGGATAGATATTATTGAGAAGTAATAAATTTATTATTTGTTTCGCCTGGGTTATACTTAAATATACTTAAAACTGAGGAAATATTGCAATTTTGGGACAAAAAGTTCTCGACGTGCACGTGGCAGCGCAAGAAGTTAAATTTGGCGCTCCCGTGAGACTCATATATCGTAAATAGTCGAATACAGTATATAAATAATATTGCAATTATCCAAATATATCAGTTTAATTTAAATATAAATATCGTTAGAATAATAGATAATAAATTTCTTAAAATAATAAAATTAAGTGAATAAATTGCACGTATTAATTCAAAATTGTTTGACGCACATGGTGAAGAAACTACGAAACTACTATAATGCAGAATTATATAGTATATGGAGATATTAAATCGTTCTTGAAACAACAATATCGCAATTATCCAAATATATCAGTTTAATTTAAATATAAATATCGTTAGAATAATAGATAATAAGTTTCTTAAAATAATAAAATTAAGTGAATAAATTGCACGTATTAATTCAAAATTGTTTGACGTGCATGATGAAGAAACCACGAAACTACTATAGTGCAGAATTATATAGTATATGGGGATATTAACTCGTTCTTGAAACAATAATATCGCAATTATCCAAATATATCAGTTTAATTTAAATATAAATATCGTTGAAATAATAGATAATAAATTTCGTAAAATAATAAAATTAAGTGAATAAATTGCACGTATTAATTCAAAATTGTTTGACGCGCATGGTGAAGAAACCTCTAAACTGCTATAATGCAGAATTATATATTATATATGGAGACACTAAATCGTTCTTGAAACTTTCTTTTGAAAAAGAAGAACTTTGAAAGATGTCCATACAATTCTTGTGAGCGGCACGTCATTCCAGTCGACTTGGATGACACATTAACTTTCGATTAACCGCCGATTCTCACACCTCGCCTCGTTTCTCTCTTTAAGTAAAAAAAAAAAAAGAAAACTTCGCACGAGAGAGCGAGACGACGAGCCAACAGTTTACGAAACGGAAACGGAAGAAACGAGGAAACTCTATTGCCGTGGCGTACGCGGACACCACGGGTGGAATTTCAGGAGAAGTTGCCGCTGCACGTCAAGGTTTTCAGAGGACCCTGTTATTAATCACGACGCTGCCATCTCCGGGAGCAACGCTCGCTCGTTAGCCCGAGGGGGTTCGTGTGCCTGAGGGGGTGGCCATCTCTTAATTACTTCCGCGCCAATTAACACCGCCTCGAATAAAGAAGGGGCTGCCCGACCGCCAATGGGAGCCCGTTTCTGAAAAAGCCAATTGGCTCGTGAGCACTCGCTTTCGATTTAATATCGTGCCACGTAGTATATTTGCGTACCACGTTCGCAGTCAATCGCTTTCGCGAAATCGAAAACGATCGCCGAGATGACGAGCACGACCAACGATCGGCTTTCCTCTTTCTGAAAGAAATTTCGACTTTGTGACACGGTGACGTGTATGGACTTTGTCCGATGAATTGGTTGAAGTGATATTCAAACTCCTTCGTCTTTCTGGCTAGACTTCGCCTCGAAATCGGGGCGAGTATGACGACGAGGCTCGATGAAACGAAACTTTCCGAGGAGTCACCCCTTCACGCCGGTCGAAGATAGGCCTGAAAGACTTGATTGACTTCCCGTGGGACTTCGCTTCCAGGGAAGAGTACAGCTGATCCCTTCTGGCTATCCAGACCCAGTTCCCTGTCTCGCTCGTTCTCACGAATCCTCCAAACTTCCACCCGAACGTGACTGGTTTACCTGGGTTAGGTCTCAACCGAGCACGAGAAAAGCGCTCGAGTAAATCACGAGAAGATGCTGTATCTGTGTATCTAGCGGCGATGTACCTGTCCTCTGGATGTTCCATTTCCAACGAGAATGTGCAAAATATATCCGGCAAGGACGAAAGTTTACGCGGCGAGAGGAGCTGGCGATTCAGGACACGGCGATATGGCGGTGGTGGACGAGTTGAAAGGGGGATGGATCCGCAGGAGACCCGAGCGCCGAGCAAGTAGAGGGTGAATCGAGTGTGGTAGTCTGAGGGTGGGGTGCTGCCTGGTGGATAAAGGAGCTGAGAGTGGGGTGAGACAGTGGCAGGGGAAGTTGACGGGGATGAGGTTGGCGATTGGCATTTAATTAGCGGCCGGATGACCGCCGCCGCCTCCGGATCAATACACCGCCCCCGGAGGCCAGCGTGCAGGAGGCAGCGGCGATCCCCTTCCGACCCTCTCCAACCTCTTTCCCTCTTTTAACCTCTTCTCCAGCCAGCCGCTCCTCTCTCTTTCTCTCTCTCTCTCTCTCTCTCTCTCTCTCTCGTCCTCCTACTTTCTGCCATCGTCACCCCATCCTCCGTCTCCTCCACCTTTTCCACCACCTCCTCCTCCTCCTCCTCCTCCTCCGCTGATGCTGCTTTCTCCGCCATCCCGTCCCGAGTACACCGAACAGAACCGAACTCGTTTGCCCCGTCGTCGGTGAAACCCTTTTCCATCCATCCCCCGGAGCCACCGGCGGAAAGAGGGGGAGGGCCAACGAGTGGCTCCGCTGCTCCTTAACCTAACCTCCTGACCGAGCACCACGTGCGGGGAATATCCGGAAGCGCCTCGGTAAAATAAAGCGAATCGACGGCGAGTGGCGCGGATCCTCTTGTGCCGTCGTGGCCTCCGGCTCGCTGGACAACCATCTCCCTCTCCTCCTTTCTTTTCTTGCCTTCGAGCCGACTCCCTCTTTCTCCCTCTTTCTACAACCATCCACTCTCCTCATCTAGTTCGTCGTTGATCAACGAGCTTTTCCTTCCCCGCGTACCTCGATGCACAACCACACCGGCCGACTTTGCCCCGTTCGATTCGATATCATAGCGGTCGGCGAAACGTAACGAGGAACGATCGTTACTACGCGCGGTGTGTAATTGCGTTTTCTGGCAGGGCGAGGATATACCGGAAGGACTGTAGAGGAAACTGGTGCCGGTGCACCGCCATTTGGGTGAATACTGGAGGTTCGTGACTAACGACACATGGATCGTCGTTCAGGATCTCGCGAAGGGAACCTCGTTTCGAACCTCGAACACGAAGCCTCGTACGCTTTCAGAGTGATCTTTAACCACTTTGCGCCGCGGCCAATTGCGATTGCGGACCGTAACGAGTGACCGAGCCGTATACAATTATTCGTCGATTTCTCTTTGAACTCGTCGGTATGATGTCACTGAATAGACATGATCAAGAAGCAATAAATTTGTTATTTATTGCAAACCAAACTGTATTTCGTATTTTTCAGCTGTTGAAAAATTTTTAAACATGAGATGGAAAGCGTTCTTTTTTTTTTATAAAAAGTGTATTTGTTAAAGCTAACGCGAGTTCCTAGTACTTATTTTGCAATGACGTACTATTTTTTAAATGTACTTTAAGCTACTTTTCAAACGAAACTCGTTAAACACGATTGTCTTATATCAACAAGAGTTTGATCGCCTATCGGGTTCAGATAATTATGTTTCAGATAATCGTTCTTTATACTTACGATTAGTTTATGTATTCGATGCCAAGTGAGCGATATTTCAATTCTGTTCCTTTTTCTATTACAAATAATAGTCGAGCTATCGAAACTTGACTCGCTGAGATTGCAAAACTTCACTTTGCAATAGCGCAAAATTCATCAGCGTGTGATGAATGAAAACAGCGCAAGTAGAAAGCACTTCGTTCCACAAAATCTGATTTTTCTCGATCGGCTAGATTTTGTAACGCGTCCTAGTAACAAATGAACACGATACTACATAACACGGATACTTTGTTGTTCGTTGATTCACAGGTGATGACACACCGACACTAATTAATGAATTAATATTCATGCGTTACGCCGACAGCCTAAATAACAAAACGGTCTGAAGGACATTGATCCGACGATACGTTGCACGGCGATGGTACACTTATGCAGTCATTAGCGCAGATTGACACCGCGCATTACTCCAAGTCGACCATTTTCCTTTCTCTATGTTGCATCCTTAAAAAGTCACGGCTGTTGTGCAGAAATCGAATTCGATAAAGCGGTGTACGGTGAAGACCATGACTGAATCGGTAATTATACATCTGACGAAAATTATCATCCATTGCAGAATTGAGCACTAAGTATTACACGAAGGATGCACGTTGCAGAAATTACTTTACGCAGTCGGGGCTGATTTCAAACAATTTTTCAAAGTTACGAATGTTTGCTTCTAACAAGAAATATTGTTGTTGATTCAACTTTGTACCTTTGTGCAAATAGAAATAAAATTATCGTACCGACTAACGTACCTATACTAACAAATAATGAACATGTAATTTCTATAAAACAATTACTTTATTTCTAAATTATTAAATTATCTTGCAATTAGGATTAAAGAGTTATTACTAAATTAATTAATAATATTTGTTAGTGATGGCTGTTACTAAATCACTCATGATTAAACGGATTTATAAAATACCTATAGTTGTGCAATTATTAAACGGATTTATAAAATACCTTATACTGTAATTATTAAATTACCGTATTGTCAACATTTTGTTTTCAATATTCACCAAGGAGCTGCACGTGCCAATGCTTCTTCTTCTTTGAGAGGCGAATTCTCTCGGCAGTGAGTCACCGATTTTTAAACTTCTTCATTCGCATATCGGCGACGTGCGAATCGGAAACGAGCTGCAGCCGGATGGATGTTCACTCTCGTTCATGCGAGGAGTTAATCACGGTAAACAGTCTTCATTGTTCCACAACGCGTTGAGACACGGTGCTCGTGCCAAATCGGTGTTTATGCTTGGAATTATGGCCGGTCGAGCAACATCCTTTGAAAATATCGTCGCCGACCGAAAAGGGTTCTCAATTTCATCCTGTATTCCAGTAACTTACGCAGAAAGTTACCAACCCCTCAAATTTATTTAAGAGAAGATATTTTTCTTTCTTTTTTTCTTTTTGACATTAGCGAGCAGTGCAATTAGCGTTACTTTGAATTTTCTGTAGTTATATTTCGCTCACATCGAAAGCAAGTCTGAAATGAAGCTACAGCTCGGTAGTTTCGACAGTTGCCTAATAATATAATAATAATTGTATAATTACGTTTGTACATAAATTGTTTACTTGCAATTTTAATTAATTTATGTGTTATTTCAATTGATTTATTTATATATTACGTTTATTTATTTATATATTAGTTCGATTATTCTGTGATCCAATCAGTATCAGTGTTTAATACACCATATATGTATTATTTTATAGTTTCGTTTGAGTTTGTTTTTAAATTTTAGTTTTTCACGTACTTATTTTCATTGTTCGATGAGCACAATAGAAAAATCACGAAACTAAGATCTACAGTGATAATTTTTGATTTTTTTCTGCATAGAACTATAACTTACCTTCATCTAGGAATTATAAATTAAACGAAGAGTGAGAATAATCATAGAACGTAATACGTAAAATTCGATTCGTGTAGCACAAAGCGTCAACTCCGACATAAGAAGAATGCGTGATTACATTTCGCCGATATCCGCGACTGGCAAATAGAAACAGGAATGAAAATGGAAGAAGCGAAAGAGGCGAAACGAGGATAAATTGATACATCCGTCGGTTATTGGCCGTGATAAGTTACATTGACAGCGGTCCATCTATATGTAAATGCACGATCGTGCCCGGCGATCGATGCCAGATCGATCGGGAATTATTTACATTGTACGCCGGCCGGACGTAAGCGGGGAAATTTGAACGCGTTCCCAGTGGATTAACGTCGCAGTAACACGCGTTAATGGACGTCGCCGCGATCGGCGATTTTATTTATGTGACGATTATTCACACACGGGCCGGCGTGTTCACGCTGCGACTGGCCGATTTATGCGCCCGCCCCCCGACCTGGATGCTGCGCTCGGCGTCTCTCGATGCTTTCTACCCGCGGGCCTTGTCTTTTGCCGATCGCGATATTCCACCTCGGTTTCTTCCTCGTCGGACATACAATGCATCTCGCGGCCTGTGATTTCGAAATCCGACATCGACAATGTATTGTAGGTTCACGTCACCTCAGATTTCTTAACTGAACGCCGGCAACGTCATTTTAACCCCTTGCGCTGGCAACTGGTTCGCGGACCATAACGAGTGACCGAGCCGTATACAATAATTCGTCGGTTACTCTATCTTTTGAACTCGTGTCGGTGTGATATCACTGGATAGATACTATTGGCAACTGGTTCGCGGACCATAACGAGTGACCGACCCGTATACAATAATTCGTCGGTTACTCTATCTTTTGAACTCGTGTCGGTGTGACATCACTGGATAGATACTATTGAGAAGTAATGAATTTATTGTTTGTTTTACCTAAATGTACTTAAAACTGAGAAAATATTACAATTTTGGAACAAAGAATTGTCGATGTTAACACCTTGCGTTGGCAACTGGTTCGCGGACCATAACGAGTGACCGAGCCGTATACAATAATTCGTCGTTTACTTTATCTTTTGAACTCATGTCGGTGTGATATCACTGGATAGATATTATTGAGAAGTGATAAATTTATTAGTTGTTTTGCCTAAATGTACTTAAAACTGAGAAAATATTACAATTTTAGAACAAAGAATTGTCGATGTTAACACCTTGCGTTGGCAACTGGTTCGCGGACCATAACGAGTGACCGAGCCGTATACAATAATTCGTCGTTTACTCTATCTTTTGAACTCATGTCGGTGTGATATCACTGGATAGATATTATTGAGAGGTGAAAAATTTATTATTTGTTTTGCCTGGGTTATACTTAAATATACTTAACATTAGAGAAGATATTGCAATTTTGGAACAAAAAGTTTTTGACGTACGTGGTACGAGAGATTAAATTTGGCGGCTTCGTGAGACTTATATATCGCAAATAGTTGAATACAATTTTCAATTTTATCAACATTCGATAAATAACAATAATATCGCAATTATCCAAATATATCAATTTAATTCAAATATAGATATTATTAGAACCGCGTAGATAATAAATTTCTTAAAATAATGAATAAATTGTACATATTGATTCAAACAAACTCGTGCAAAATTGTCCGACGCGCACCTCGAAACTGCTATTGCGTTAGAATTCATTCGCTATGGCTGATGTAATCATTCTTGAAACTTTCTTTTGAAAAAGAAGAACTCCGAAGTTGACTGAGAAAAGATCGAACAAAATGGACGACGAATTGTTATTTTGCTCGAAAAATTCACGAGAAAAGGGTGACGGAGCACCGCTGGTCTCCTCGTCGGCAGCCGGGCCGGTTGTTTTCTGCTTGGATGTATAAAATACGGGACTTGTTAACAATGTTCGCACCTATGGGTACGTGTGCGAGGGGCGCATACGTTCGTGTACCCGGTCACCGATATAAACGCGATGCGCTGCGGCGAGGGGGCCCCTTTCGGCGACGTCGACCTTCGCCCCGAGATCCCGCGGAGATATTTTATTCCACGGCGATTTTTACGAGCCGATATATCAAGCATCGACCGGGGGCCCGGCCGAAAACGCCCCCGACCCCCGCGGAAACCACCATCGCCGATCCCCATTACACGCGCACCTCGCCTCGCGATCTCTGCTTGATCCTCCGCGTTCTCGCAAGCGAGAAATTAAGGTGTGGTTCTGGAGGAATGGTATTTGAACGAAGTCTTTTTTTTTTTTTTTTTTTAGTGTACGTGTGAGAATAGGTTTGGCGAATATGTAATAAGTTTGTATCGAGCCATCGCGTAAGTTTGGGAATAAGTTGCCGTCGAAGATTTCCGAAAAATTGGCGCAGAAAATTTAATTGATTGGAAAATTCGTTGTCGATCGATTTTTATTGTTTTTTTATTTTATTTTATTTTTGTGTAATATACGAGAAAATACACACAGTGTATGATGCAGTTAATATACAATACACACGACATACTTTAAGATTGACTTTCTTACAAGGCTCGATTACAATTTTTACTCTTGCGATCACACATTTGTAACATCGTGGTATTTTGTACGTTTTTAATTTTTTAATGCACACGAACATGACGAAACGATGTCGTAATGATTGACCAATATTCCCTGTTATTTTTATTTACTGCCAAAAAATATATCTGCATTTCACTTTTCTCATTTAGTATCTTTTCTTTTTCGTGTTCAGAATGCAAGTTGCTATCTGTAAATATATATATATATATATATATATATCCACGTTTGTTAATGTAATCATTTGGCATTAGACGTCGAGTCTAAATGCAAAAGCAACAGTTGGAGACACTCTCGAGATTTAGTATTTACTATAAAAACGAGATGATAAATCTGACAAATGTGTGCCTGTCATTTAGATATACCTAAGTTATTTCACTTTTAGTATAATATATATGACAGTTCAAAATATAATATAATAATAATCAAATAATATAATATAATAATAATCATATCTGTAAGAAGACGAAAGAATATTGCATAAAAAAAATGGCCGACGTAAGAAGAATTCACGTTAATTTTACATTTTGTACAATTGGCTAAGCGACGATGCATTAATTTGATAATGATATGGATAATTTATCTGCCTCAGTTCATGGTGATACCTATCCGAATAAATTATTGTAATTAATTATCTTTATCGTGATTTTACGGTTAAAGCTTTAGCAACGGGAACTTGGCGCAAACCAAAATTTACTTCGAAATATAACCAATCGGAAGTATCGCGATGCAATTATACAATATGGATAATTGATTACCTTTTAATCATACATATTTGTTATTTGTAACATGCTCAACGTATCTTAATCTGCGTGATTAATTATACGACTCGACTAGATTTCATATGCATTCATAATACGTTGTATCTATTTGTCACGTGTAAAATAATTATAAAAGTGTCGTGTCGTATAAAAAGCCGGTGCGTGATCGATTAAAATTTTTAATCTGGTTAAACTGGTATGACAATGAACGCAATTTATCGATATTATGACATAGCAATATTTTCCCCTGTAAGTTTTTTTCATACATACACTACATATACATTTCAATTACATATACATTTAAATTATACATTTCAATTACATATACGTTTAAATTATACATTTCAATTACATATACATTTAAATTATATATTTCAATTACATATACATTTAAATTATCGTAATTTAAATTATATTATATTGTATTATATTATTATATTATAAATTATATTATATTATATTGTATTATATTATTAATATTAAATTATTAAAAAATATTATATTATTAAAAAATAATTACTGTCATATTATAATCTTCGTATTTCCAAAGACAACGTATTCAGAAAGTGATCAAGTTATACATACCTGTATATATAATTTATAGTTAATCAACATTTTCAATTAAAATAGTTATAGCAAGTCAACATTTTAAATAAAAAAAGAAAACATCTTCCGCAAGTGACGAGTTCTCTCTCGGAAGGTCTCAAGACTCTATATTTTAAACGACGTGATGTTTCATTTATCGCTTCGTGCATTAGTGAAACATGTTCTCTCTCCGTCACACGGTACAAGCGAGTTGTACCCGGCATCGAGCAGAATGCACATGCAGTCACATCTATTACGCATAGACGTACACGTGTTTATTATTCGTTTAACACGGCGATGCGGTCGCAATGTGCGTGAAAACAGCGCGCGCGAGACATAAGGCGACAGTGCGACCATAATTCACGAAACGAAGGGGGGTCGAGTATATCTGGTTGTCGTGGCGAACAAGATCTCGCGGCTTTAACGTCCTTTCGAAATCCCGATTTATTCGGGAAATCTCGACCTCTGATGTTTCTGTGATACTCACGCCTTCGATCGACTGTTCGAAGATACATTTTCCAAATTTTGACAACGTTTATTTATTTTCTCCTGTACTTCAGTTTTTTCCAATCAGACTGTATTTTCAATTTTTGAAGGAATAAAGCAGCGAGGAATGAAATATTCAATTTCAAATTATGTTATATTTTTGGCTTTGTTGAGAGGTCTGTTTCTCACGAAATTTTGATTAAGTATAGACCACAATATAGGAAAAAGAAGTAACAGTTCTAGTAAAATAACAGCAACAATATTTATATATATAATACACGTAAATATATATTATACAAGAATATTAACTTTATTTCGGAGAATCGAGGGAAAAGTTATTTATAGTTAAACAAATCCTAATTGTCAGATCGATCATCTTGCTGGATTCCTACACGCAGAGTTAATTGTAAATATTTCAAATTTCAACTACACCTCTTCTATATTTTTCAGATTTTTCAAATCAGATTGTAATTAAAAATTAGAAATTTGTAAGAAACTTTCAATTGAATTATGGTCAGATTTGCATTGTCCGTGTTATCTGATTCCTTGAATCTTAACAGCAGCAACAGCAAAGAGTCACGCTTCTTTCATAACTCCTTTATTCTTTGAAAATTAATTGTGTCCAAGTATCAATTTAAATTTATCATTATTTTATTACTAATACAATTCTTTTTTTATTAAATTCTTTAATTTTACTTTTTTTGGGGGGTGTGGGGGTTTGTTATAAATTTATGTCTGTATATATTATAATTACAGTTTTAATTTTTCTCTTTCCCTTCTCATTTGAACGCAATTTCTTTAGAAAGTCTTTATATAGGAGACCAGAGATCGTTTCAAATCGGCGTTTCCACTTGACCGGTTCGCTTATCGATATTTCTCGAGCAACGTAGCGTAATGTATCGACGACCTTTCAATACCGAGTCCTTGCTTCAGTCGCGAGAATTCTGCGAACACGAGTTCGTTCGCGCCATCGCCGTGCGATTGGAATTCCGTAATTGACGCAGTTTATTATTTACCTGCCACCGCTGACAACACGTTCCTTTCGATCGAGGTCCTTTCTCCTCCGCGAGAATTATATACTGCCGCAACTTCTTTGTTTCGGGTCGATGTCCACCTACGCTGTTGCGAGTGATTGATTCATTCTACTCATTTGGTAATGTTTAATGATCTATGATGATTGATTTGAACGCTCGTTTTCCGGGTGATATTGATTCTGTTCGAAAGATATGAGCCTTTTCTCAGACTTTTGCTCAGAAGTTGTTATTTTTTCATACAACTAACTTTAATTGAATGTATTTAAAGTCATGGTTTTGTATCGTTATTTCTCAAGAAGAGTCCGAAGAAGTTTACCTTGTTCGAGAAGTGAAGGATACTTTAAAGTTTAGAATATATTTCTTAATATAATTATATATAAATTAGATATATATAAAAGTAGAATTATATATATATTAGAATTATATATAAAAGTAGAATAGTACACATAATTTAGGAAAAATGGTACAATTGCCTTCGAAAATCTGAAAAAAAATCTGTTGAAGAAAATGATCTTGAATATCGATTGACAATCAAACAAATGCAGTCGATTACATAAATGGCACAGTAAAGTTAATTTTTGCAAACTATGTTTATTTCAATTAAATTTTAATCGATGCCTTTAAACGAATTGTTGCTCGATATGAACTCCCAAAATACATTGAACGAAAAATCACAAGAATCACAAGAATAAACTGAAATAGTTGCACAAACTATTTGTATCCAGTTTAAATAGAATTTTACCGCGCGATATTGGATAGATCCAGATCATGTGGTCCCTGGAAATAAATACGTGTTTTCAACGATCCCCAAGTGAATTGAAATTAATTTTCCAAAAATCACAAAACCCCATTCGTCAATGTCATAATGGCCAAAACTTGCTGCACGATCTCTATTATTAAATTAACATGAAAGTTGTCGCATAATTGTCATCCACGATATTGGCTAATACTAATTGCCTTGATGGGGCGTAGTCGATCGAAAGGTTCCGAGTCACGATCCGGTGGCGAAGTAGTAGGTACGTTTTACGAGGAAAGAACGTCCCGTGTCAGGGGGCCATCAGGCGGAGCTGGACTCGAGTGCTACTCGCTGAGAAATTGACGAACTGCGAACTACCATCGCGCAAAGTTATATTCGAAGTGATGACAATTACGGTGATGAATCTGCGGCAAGGACAGAAATAGAGCGGAATTTCGGAATCGGCGTGTTACGTTGTTTGAAATTGAACGATCTTTCTAGAAATCGGTTCCCGTGCGAGAACTCTTACAGCCTGTTCTAGTTCTAGTCTATACTTCAGATTTTTTGAGAAAGATGTTCTAGAGAAAGTTTTTTGACAAATAAATTTTTGAAAATGTACTTCTTTCGTGTTTCGAGTTTCAGTAAAATATATTGATATTTAATTAAACTATACTAACTACTAATTTTGATTAAAATATACTAACTTTATTAATTTTAACTAAAATATACTTACTATTAATTTTAACTAAAATATACTAACTACTAATTTTAACTAAAATATACTAACTGCTAATTTTGACTAAAATATACTAACTATTAATTTTAACTAAAATATACTAACTGCTAATTTTAACTAAAGTATACTAACTGCTAATTTTAACTAAAATATACTAAGTATTAATTTTAACTAAAATATACTAACTATTAATTTTAACTAAAATATACCAACTTCTAATTTTAACTAAAATATACCAACTACTAATTTTAACTAAAATATACCAACTACTAATTTTAACTAAAATATACTAACTACTAATTTTAACTAAAATATACTAACTGCTAATTTTAACTAAAATATACTAACATTTAACATTTTAAAACTTATTTACGGACAGAGAACAATTCTAGTATACAGCCTGTTTTGCATATGCAGCGAGAAAGATTTGAAAATAAAAAAATCAAGATTCCATTTTATCCATAATTTGTGTTTGAATATATACTATTAATATAAACAAATATTCAAGAAAATTTTCTAAGATTTACCCGGAGAAATTTATGAAAAATACACAACTAAATTGAATCCAAGTCCTCTGATACTCGATTCACCAAGAATAATAATATTTGAATCACACGATTTACACTTTGTAACTCAAAGTTATAAACAGTGATGACAAATTCAATTACTCTGTATCTGCGGATTTATTATTATACACCAAAATATAAGGCTAGGACCTTCTGTATCCTATTTCTAAGACTTCAAACCACTATTTAAAACAAACAAACAAAAAATCGATTTTTTTGAAAATTTCAAACTCTCCTGACCCCTTAAGAGTCCTCAGCCACCGCCCCCTCCGTTCGCGAAGACTGGTGCTCGCGGTCGGCCATTACGAGTGATACAAAGTGTCACGTGTCACGGCAGCTTGTTTCCGCTGCGATCGATTTGTTTCCGCGCGTTTCGTCCGTCCATTACCGGCATTACGGGCTCGATTTTTTCGTGGAACGATCGCGAAGGTGTGGCTGCCGGGATGAAAAGTCAGTGGAAGCGTTAGCGGAGGCGGCACACGGCTCTCCGCTCGAGACAATGGCGATCGATCTTCCCCCGGGGACGGCGACTCAATCGGAAATTGCCGATGAATAGGGACGATAGATGAAAACTCGCTCTATTAAAATGTCTAGTCATTTTTTTCTTTTTTCTTTTCTCTTTTCTTTTCTTTCTTCCAGCCTGAGCACCGGGCTGAAGATCGGAGATCTTCCGCCGATCCTTGCCGCGGACAGCTGCGCTGGAAATAACTCTCGCAACTCTCCCTAACCGTTTCCTTCGATACATCGCGTTGACGACGACGAACACGACGATCATGGTTGTTGTTGTTGTTACGGCGTTCCTCTCTGCCAAATAGCGGCCGTGGCTTGGCACGCTCGATTCGTGTAAGTTGCGGCCCGATTTCGAGCTATTCGATGAATTCTCGCGTTCAAGTTGGCAGAAGGCATGGCGTATTTGCCACAAACGGATCGATTCGGCTTTTGCCCCGTACCTGCGTGGTATTGATTCGGATGTGAAAGACCGAGTAACACTCGTCTGGGTTAATTTCAGAGAAAATGATACGTCGTAATTTTAGTTTGTGGTTATTTTATTATTCGATTTGTCGTGTGAGTGAAATTTTCGTTAATTCCTGAATTTGAATCAATTCACCATCGAGCGTGAACGAAAAGTAATAGATGGCATGGGAAATTGATGAAATTTCAACTTTACAGTTCTACAGGCGTAGAATCGTCTAATTTTGACATATAGAATTATTCATCGTTCCGTGAAATTAGAGTTATTAGGGAGTATGATCTCTTGTTACTTCGTTTCCTTTTTCGACTTTCAGTTTTCCAAGTGTAATTCGCAGTTCGTTCTCGCAATTCGAAAGAGATACGTTTGAATGTTACTGATTTTTGAACTCGTGCGCGTTTCCTTACTCACTTTTGGTGTGCAGTGTTCCTTCAGGAAATGTTTCAAATGTTGCACATCGCGTGATATTCGCGTCCCGAGGAAAAAAGCAGTTCAACAAAAAGTTAATTGTCACGTTGCACAATTCCCTCAGTACCGTGCAACTTTTGTTCGAAACATCTTTCCGTATGAGAATTTAAACTTCTTACTCAACAAAATGTAATTATTATAAATAGAGCGCATCGTTGATCGTATATACGTACACAGAGTACGATTGCCTGCTCGATGATTAAAATTTTGCAATAAACTATGACTACAGTGCAATAAAAAGACAATATTTTGCAATAAAAATATATTTATTTGCAATAAAATTTACTAGAATTTATTAACAAATGAAGTTTGTTAATTTATTAATTTATTAAAAATTAAAGTTTAATAATAAATGAACTATTGTTGTGATTAGTCAAATTATTAACGGATTGACGGAGTTATATAATTTTTAATACACTACCTGATGGAGCTCGTTATTTTTTGTACAATTTGTTTTAAGCTAAAATTTACTTTGGCAAATATTTTAACATAAAATTGGTTGTGGTGGAACTCCCTTTATCTCCACCAAATTTTAGTCAATACCCAACTAAACGAACTCTTGATTCCCGTTATGCGAACCTGAATTCTATTGTATGAACGAAAAATCACTAATGGAGGATGAATTGTAATGCGATTCCAGTTGTATAAACGATTTATTTCCTGACAAGTTCGTATAGTAAGCGAAGTTTCACTGTACCTATATATATAAAATATATAAAATATATATATATATATATATATATAAATGTATAAAATATAAAATATATAAAATATATATATATAAATATAAATGTATAAAATATAAAATATATAAAATAAATATATAAAATATGAAATATATATATAAAAATATAAATATAAATATAAATATATAAAATATATATTTGAAAATATAAATATAAATATATAAAATATAAAATATATAAAAAAATATAAAAAGTATTCTTGCGTTCATGCTATCTTTGTCAAATAATACGTTCCTCGGAGCAAAGTGACTCACCTCGTATAAACTACTCATCTCTCCAGATAGATAAATAGAATTTTATTGCAGTATCAGCGCGTAAAATTTAGTATCTGCGTAACTGAAACGCACGAACTTTCATTGGCAGAGAGAAGAAAGTGTACGAAATTGGGGAAACTTGTTACGTTGAAAGGGGGCGCTTTCGATGAGAGGACGCTAACTTCCACGCGTCATTGTTCTCTGTTATCGCGTTAGAGGGGGAAAAAGCAGAAAAGCCGAAAGTAAATGCACGCGCGATCGTTTCACGGCCGTAAGTCTGTCGGATTAAGTTCTTCAGTGAGCGCCGCTTATTTTTCGCGTTGCCCGGCAGCTGTAATAATGAGATTTAAAAAGCACCCTCTGCTGTCCGTCTGTGTGTGCGAGGAAGCAAAGGGAAAATCAACAGGGATCCAGCAATTTTCCGCTTCAGTATCGTTGGAAAGAACCGTTCTCCATGAACTCGGTCGTTTTCCTAAATAACCAATCGAGGCTAATCACAGACTGAATGAATTTAATTCACACTATGAAACTACCAAAATGGCCAAAATGACTAATAGAAATTTTAGAATGCATAAGTTTGACTATAGAAAATTTAGAAAAATTCAGCTCTTGTATTATATTTGTGAAATTACTTTAAATTCTCTTCTATCCGTTGCTCTAGAATTCAAGCAGATCTTGTACAAAACACACCTCGAGTGTCAGGCATGAAATTTTCCAGAAGGGGGAGAAAAATTATCATTTACTTAGAATTTGCAAATACTTGGATTACTCGTGCATAGAAAAGCAAAACTGTGACTTTTTTCATATATTATTTTTATTTTCAAATGGAACATGAGTATAGTATGCACTAGAGTATAGTAATGATTGAAAATTCAGTATCTGCAAGGAGTCCTCTAGCTACTTGCATCGCAATTTCAAAGAGAGACATTGAATTTATCTCGCACATTCAGAGACCCACCATCTCCTTCCCATAGTTGCCTCTTGCAAATTGCGAAATTTTCTCAGTTTTAAGTATATTTCAGTGTAACCCAGGTGCAAAACGAACAAGCTTCATTGCCTCTTAATAACTCCTGTCCGGCGATATCGTATCGACGAGTTCGAAAGAAGAGAAAAGCGACGAAATTATTGTGTACGGTTCGGTCACTCGTTATGGTCCGCGAACCAGTTGCCAGCGGAAAGGGGGTTAAAATATATTCCGACCGAGTTCCAGAGAAAATCGTTCCGTGCAAGTGGTCCTTCAGAACAGTGCCAAAGCTGTTTCGCGATAAACCACGTGTCCACGAATGAAATTCGGGATTCCGTGGAAACAAACGCGATATCATCCCTCGGCGATTATCGCCGGGCGACTTACTCCCGAGGAATCCCTCGGCAAACGTCTGGACGTTTCACGCTACATGGATCAAGGCTGGCAATCGGGGCGATATTATTTCATCGGTCGGAAATAGAGAGAGAGAGAGAGAGAGAGAGAGAGAGGAGGGCGGTCAGGACAGAAAGTTAGCATAGGCGGTGACTTAGTGCTCCTCAGGGTGCCGTCTGTCAACCCCGCCGTTACAGCCTTTCTTATTTCGCGATATTTTGTCGCCGCCGGCCTGCGATATTTATCGTCCACGCAGGGACCCTTGCCCCTTTCCATCTTTCATTTCTTTATTCCTTCGTGGCCGGGTAATCTTTGCAGTTCGCTCGAAAGGGAAAATTAATCGAGCCGCACCGCTCGATTGCCCGTGAGTGAAATTTACAGGTGAGATATATATATATATCGAGACTGTTTAATTTAATTTTGGCCTTTGATCAGGCGATCATGGCCTCGATATTAATTTCAAATACTTTTGATAGATAGATGCCAAAAGCATTCAATAGATAATGTAAATTAGATTAGTATGTAGTTGCGATTGTAATTCGTATACAAAAATAATAAATAGATTGATAAATGTGTATAAAAGTATATAAGTAAATGTTTTATTACAAATATGTATAAATAAATTACAAATTAAATCGAGTGATACAAATCAGTATAAATGGAAAAGTTAAAATTGAAGGTGGATAGGAATTTGCCTTCACAGAAATATCTAAAATAACTTTAAATACTTATATCTGTTCCACGTTGGGATTTTAAAGTAACTTAAATATGTATCTTTTTCTTTCGTTTATGTTCTATGAGTTTCATGTAATGTAAGTATTTGTGTTCCTTGAATGATATTGGTATATTTCTTGCAACAATTTAGAACGAACCATAACGAGAATCGCGGATTTTCATGCGCAAGAGTTGTTTATAATTTATATTTCATTTTTATTTTTACGAACGTGTTATATTTTTATGAACATGATTAAAGAAATAGAAATGTTGTAATAAATTTTTCATAAATGCATAATAATTTGTCCAACTGTGAACGAAACTGAAGGAACGAAGTTTTTTTTTCGAGATTTTCGGTTTTGTAGTATATTTTGTTTGTGACAACTGACACTACGAAACTATTGAATACAGTTTAGAGATAGCGTCAAATGTTTCAAGTAATTTTCTTAATAAGACAAATCTCGTGGCATTCCCTGTTTCTTCTTCTTATCCTTCAAATGTTAACATTCGTCTACGTGCGCGTTAATGTTATTTTTATAAAGAAACATAAATCACATAGATATTCATACAGATGTTACTTTCTAGTGTATTTCCATTTCAAAAAATCCTACGTGAGTTTCTTTATTTTATGAAAACTCATAAAAAAAAAAAAAAAAAAAAAAAGGGAAAATGGACACAGACTAATTTTAAGAGTTCTACTAGTAAACTCTTTCTACCATTTTCCATCGTCTGTCTGGAACTAAAAATTCTGGAGGTTACGGACGCGCGATTTGAGACTGCTCCCGAGAGAGTAAGAATTATTGGTCGTCGAAATTTTGACAAACGCCGGCTCCAAGTCGAAATATACTCGGGAGTGGGGGGGAGGGGGCAGTTAATTCCGCTACATTTGAACGCGTCCCGAGGAAACGGCCAGATATATCACGCAAATTGCCATTGTGGCCGCGACAATATGCTAAACGCAGCCCAGGCTGTTAGCATTTCATTATTCCGCCACACACGTGAAGCGAGCCATTGGAAATTCCGCTTTCTTTTTCTTTCTTTTTTTCTATTCCAGCACGCGTTTACCCTCCTGACACGGACACGCGTGCCGCATTCTGATCGAGGGGGAATTGCCAATTGCTTCGTATCGTTTAAACCGCGTGTACACGTGTCGCATGCGAAGGCGAATATGGTTGTAGTTCCTTCCCTCTTTCGCTTGTTCTTTTCTATCAGTTCAAAGAGTTCAAGTAACGACACGAAATTTATTTATATTTGTTCAAACGTTTCGTGAAAAGAAAGGAAACATTTATCATTTATTATATAGTGGAAATGTTTGTTCAACAGAAAGAACAGGAGAAAAATGTAAACGAGGTACGAAGTTAAGTTAGTACGAGTAAGTCATTTATTTCTTGCTACATTTTCAAATCCGATTGTATTTTTTTTTAACGTTGGAAATATCTCGAGTTTGAATTCAAACGTGAAGAAATTGTTACCGATACGCACGATTTCAATCTGAATCTTCGCAATGTATTTTTGCCTTTGATAGATTTGACATTTTCTACCTCGTTTCGAATAATTCCCTTCGAGCACGACTGTTCTATATTGGAGAAATTATTACGAATATTCTCGGTTTCAAGAAAGGTTATTTCTCTGAGTTTTTGCAAAGAATTACTCTGAAAATAGTTTATTAATTTAAACGATAATAAAATTAGCTGATGACACTGAGAATAAAGAAACTAATCAAATAATTAATAATAAAATGATAATATTAATGAAATAATTAATGTTAATATAATAAAATAATATTAATGTAAATAATTGTTTTAGTAAATGTTAGCACTAGCTAGACTTGAAACTGTTAAAAAAAACTAATCACTAATGCGACAGAAACTCTTTTCTTCGTAGTATGAATATCAATTGCAGAAGCATATGTCTTTTAAATTATTTGCATCACGAATACTTCTTATAATCGATTAATATTAATAAAGAATACCATACTAAACTATAGTAAATGTTTCGATCGAGACAAATTAAAAAGAATTCAAATATTACGTTTTATTTTTAATTTCAATTGCACGAATTTTCATGAAGTTATAAGATATTTGTTCCAAATGTACGTTCAATAAAACATTAGCGCGTAGAGTGAATCGGCAATACACGATTTAAATTTCTGACGCACGCAAATAGATCGACAATTTTAAATTCCTGCCACAGTTCCCATTTCCAATATTCATTTTTTCACGGAAACATTCTTACACACGCGTCTCGTACTCTGCAACTAATTTCATCCCTCCGCTATCTGATCCAGCGAAATCCCGAGAAATCTTCGACAATCGTACGAAGAACGGTCGCGCGAGTCGCGAGAACGGCGGAAACGACGAGAGAGGGTTGGGCGCAAAAGGGACCGCGAATCAGTGGATCGGATCAGCGAAATGCATCGAGCCAGCTTAAATCCTCGAACTCATTAATGGGGTTTGCATCGTCGACAGGGCCGGCTCGCGCAGCTTTATACTTGAGGTTTAACTCGCGCGCTGGTCAAATTAATTTGCAACGATGGACGAGTTGCCCGGTTGCTGCTGCTGCGCGTTGCGCCGTTAGCGTTGCATTTCGAATGGGGAGATTAGCCCCGTTCATTAAACACAAACCTACTACACATCTGCCAGGAGATTTGGCCGCGATGCGAAACCACCGGTGTATCGCAACCTCCTCCAACCTCCCCCACGCGTCATCGTCCTCGAGTGCCGTCGGGTTTTCGTACTTTCGTGCCTACGTCTGCCTTTCTGCTTCTCGATGGATCTCTTTGATGGATCAACTGCAATCCCGGGCGATAGTTTGTCAGACGAATTTCAGCCACGATCGGCCGCGAGTGCCGTTTCCCTTCGAGGCAAAGTAGCCGACGATGGAACACAAACACCGGGTTGTTTCGTTTCGGGCGAAAGGATTTCGAATGGGGAAGAGAGTGGGGAGATTTGGGATGTATCGACGCGAATAGTGGCCATTCACAGGTAGCTATGCATCCGCTCAGCGAGTGTTTGCCAGCTGCGAACGCTTCGAGTGTGAAACATCGGTGGTAGCTCTTTTTCAACCCTCTGGGACGCGACGCGGTCGTCGATCGACGACCAAGATCGCTTTTAGTAGTTTTCACAAATATTTACAATTTTTTCTTGCTTCGCCTGGGAATTTAATCCTTAAACTTAAGCCGAAAACCTAATTGTTTTGAATACCGAACGAGGAGCGTGTAACGAATTAACCCCTTGGCGCTGGCAACTGGTTCGCGGACCATAACGAGAGACCGTGTACAATAATTCGTCGCTTTCTTTTTCTATTGAATGACATCACTGAATAGAAATTATAAGAATTATTATTAACTTATCACTTGTTTTGCCTGGGTTTAATTTTAATATTTTATTTAATTTAAATATACTTAAAACTGAGAGAATATGTTGCAATTTGGCACGTCATTCCAGCGCAAGAGGTTAAAAAGACACGCTTTAAACGTACATTTTTTTGTTATGTTTATTTTATATATGACGCATCACTTCTGACATAGTATTTATTCAACAGGTTTCTCTCTTTGAACTTCTTACAAGTAAATCAATTGTATTTTAAATTCATTCCAATTCAAGCACGAATTGACACAATTTTCACCGTTTGAAGACGCGGTATTAATCTAACTGTAATAATTGAATGAAAAGAAAAAATAATTGTCACAGTATATCATCTTTCTGAGACGTACGATCTCACTAAACTATTGACAAATGAACAATCTAGGTATATATACTTTTCCCTAGTGCAATCGAAGAATCAACCCAGAATTAACCGAAAATTTCCCGTTTCAACTTTCCATACGAATGATAAATCTCCGGAAGATTTTTGTCGAAATCTGTCGCGCGGGGGAAAAGAAAAGTAACCAGCAATGAACGAACACGTTGTTATTACATCTCGTGCGATCCACCGACACGCGGTGCCTCGTTTCGCCGTGTTTCACTGTGACAAATGGCTCCCGTGATCGGCTATTGACGACTCGCTGACGTAATTCCATTCCGCTCGTTAACGAATACCAAACGGTAGCCGAGCCACGGTTTCCACGGCTCTGATATATTTAACAATACGCGGGGGAGGCAGGGGAGGAGGGAGGCTGGGCGAGCATTGTGCGGAACTGTGCCGGTGGTCCGCTTCCGATTATAATGATAATCATCATCGCTGCCACGGGGTGTGTATCGCCCCGGCGCGCTATTGATTGGAAATATAAGTCCGCGTAATTCATGTAATCCATATCCGCGCAATTAATTATCGTTCGTTGATACGTTGTAATAGCCATCGTTGCAGCCAGCGCGCGTACGCTTGTTCCACGTTTGGATTACAATCCCGGCCTCTCCGGTGTGCATGTTCGATCCCGTTGTCGAGAAACGAAACGCTCCCGGGTGCGTGGATCGTCCAGAAATCCGGAACTCTTCTTCCGCGTTTCGTTTCGTTTCGTGAAACGAGAGAGAGAGAGAGAGAGAGAGAGAGAGAGAGAGATTTTCATTCTAACTCTTCTGCAAGCTGGAATTATTATTAACGATGTTTGTAAGGTAAAGTTAGTGTTAGGTGAGACATCGAAGCGATGTGATTTCATTCTCTATTATTATTATTATTATTATTATTATTATTATTATTATATAAAATTCTCTATTATTATTATTATTATTATATGAAAAATTGAAAATATTAAAATTTCAAATGAAATTATTTGAGAGATTAAACGTATTATTCTTAATATTGAATAATTATTTATTGAAATTCATCTAATAATAAAAATTGGATAAATATTTAATCTTGAAATAGATGATAAAAAAATTATTCTATATTTTATATTTAAATTTCTATAAATTCGTGGACAAATTAATCATAATACTGATGATACAAAAATATTAATATTATAAAAATTTTGTATCATGATTTATTCAACTATAATTTATTCTGTATACATAACTGATTATATGATGAATGTTAGCCATTTAAAGTATTTTATATACGTAAATCCTCTTCGCATAACATGAATCGATGTGAAATTGGGGCGAATTTGCAGCAGTTCATTAAGAAAATTTTTAAATAAAATATAGAAATGAACGCCCGAGTACTCGGTTCTCAACACAAAGATTAAAGTATTAAAGGTTTGACGTCGTAGCATTTTCATTTACTGTATTGCCACAAACAGATTTTTGACACATTTCTTAAAAATCATTCTTCAAATCTGTTACTAAATATAAACATCCCAACGCAAGAACTTGAAACACGCTCGAACGTGATGTAATTCCTTTTCCAATCAATTTATCAGTCATTAAATTCTGTCTTTCAACGTTGAATTAAATTCAGTCAATATTTACCACTCCTTGTTGTCCATTCGGATTCCTTGATTTATAACGTTGTAAAAATTATTGCTCCATCCTTAATGGACCAAGGCAAGTGGCCTGAAAAAGTATAACATTGAAACGATAGATATGAAATGGGGCAATTAAAGTCTTGTCATTGAGAGACAAGCTAATGCTCCAGGTTTTCGCGATTAACAGTCAGATGAATCGGCCGAGCCAAGCAGTTGGAAGAAAGAAAGAGAGAAAGAAAAAGAAACGGTAAATTGATGGACTCGTCGTCGGCCCGGTGGCAGTGTCGTTACCAGTCTAATCGGGAGATATACCGCCGCGGAAAATATACAGAAGTTGTTCGTGGCGTTCTTAAACGGCGAGTATTAACCGGAGGTACGAGATGATAAACCGACAGCTGAGCGGCAGAGAGAGAGCTGCAATAAATGTTTCGTGGCTCGTAAAAACGTTATTGCCTTCCATGCTCGGCGACAGCGGAGGAACATGACCGAGCAAATGCAAAAAGCCACGCGAAGAAACGCTGGTGCCGATCAGAAACTGGTATATATATGATATCATTTCGCGAAAGGTAGTCGAATTTTGCTTTCGTATAAATTACTCGGTCTCGATTGTGAAATTTGTTGACAATTCTCCGCAGAGAATGCTAAAAAGAAGAAGGAGTTTGTGAGAAATAATAGAGTACCGTTGCGGGAGAGATTAAACTCAAATTTCTAAAAATACAAACGTGCGAGATTATGTAAAAAATTACGAAATTTTGTTGAAATTTGATCTAATTAATACACACACACACAGTTGGTTTGCATATTCACATTTCTAGTACATAGTGATTGCTCAAAATATGTCAGTCATCGAATTTTAAAATTCGAAAATTCTTAGTTACGTGTCTTTTGAAATAATTTGTTAAATGTAATTGGAATTTTGATAGAGAAAAAGTATCTGAGATTATTATTAACTTTCTCTGGATGCACGTGACACTTCCAAATTTAAAACTCGTATAAAAATCATCATGTAAAAGTACATGCAACAATCACATGATATCTTAACATCTCTGTCTTTTCTAATATATCTAATATATTTAATATATATTCTACTTTTATTTTCTAATCATCAACAAACATCTATCATCTTCTTTACATTGAATATAAATATATATATAACTTAGCAAATATTTCCTTTGACAAAACCTAAATCAATCGTTTCATCTACCACCTCCCCTTTGCTATAGAAATCTCCCAACGAAATTCCACACGAGTATTAAATGTACCATTTAAAACGTTATATCTGCGTGCGTTATAACGTTGGCCGAATTAACTCGCAAGGCTAATTCCAAAGGCGTCGCCGTCTCGAATATGAAAAAAAAAAAAAAAAAAAAAAAAAAAAAAAAAAAAAGAAGAAGAAAGAAACGCGACCGGGACTTTGTTTCACAGGGCTCTGCTCCCCCTTTCCGCGTGGCACGGGACCGCCGCTAATATCGCCCATATAATCTGTCGCTCGTCCCGAATAAATAACCCGCTGCGAAGCTAATAAAATTCGCCGGCTGCGAAATTTTGTCAGCGGTGCACGTTCCGCCGGGCTTTGTTTCCCGACGACAGAAGATTTCCCGCGACGCCGCGCGGGACGCTGTCTGGATAAAGACACATGGCCGACGATGGCGGCGCGCTCGTCGCTTCATTTGTCTTTATATTAACGGCACACGCCGTATCCGTAACGCTATAACGCCCTATAACACCACGACACGCCGGCAAACTTACACGCAACACGTCGTCTTCCTCTTCTTCTTCTTCTCGAGGCGTGAACGGCCTCGCGTATAGGTGAAACGGTCCCCTTTCTCGTCGACCAGGGGCAAGGGAGATTGCGTGTAACCCCTTAAATGGGGAGCGACGATTCGTTGGCGATGGTTCGGTAGGGTTCTGATGGGATTAAGGCGCTGGAAAGTATCTTTTTTCGTTCAACATTTCGCGCGTACGCGCGCGAGTATCTGTTTTCTGTTATTCCCGCATTCTCGGCCTGAACGTCTGCTCCGCTTCGAGACTCGTTCTCCGTCATTATGAAGCGTGAGGCTTCATCGGGGATACCGTCGCTGCAACGACGATGCAAATGATGAGAACGACGTTCGACGTTCGAAAGCGTAAGCGCGTCGAGAATAATTTTGTTCCAAATTGCAACAATTGCTCAGTCTCAAGTACATTTAAATGTAACCCCCCCCCAGGCGAAACAAATGATAAGTCTAAATGATGAGTTCGAAAGAAACGGAAAGCGACGAATTTATTGTATATACGGCTCGGTCACTCGTTACGGTCCGCAATCAGTTGCCAGGGCAAATGGTCAATAAGGAATCCGAAGTTCGCCCCGGTGCAGATTCGCGTTGGTACCCCGGTGGAGAGAAACTTTCAAAACGCATGAAAGATGGAAGGAGGAATTAGTGTTTCTTTTTTCTTTCCTTCTTCTCTCTCTCTCTCTCTCTCTCTCTCTCTCTCTCTTTCTTTCAGCGTCTCTTAGTTTTGACTGCAACGATAAGCTGCAGGTAACTGCGCGCCGCGCAAAATAAACTTCTCCGCTGCGTACATAAAGTAATACCTCGATCCAGGGAGACTCGCCTTCCTTTCAGAGCCGTGGGGCAGGATTGGATGGTGGCTCCCAAGAGGTTAATTTCGTGCCGAAGGGCGGAAAATATTCACGGTTCCTTAAAATCCGGCGGAGCCCCGTCTCTTACGAGGCTTCCTCTGGGGTGGCGTTATGCCAAACGGTCACTCAAAATACCACACCCCACCCTCCCGTTTCTCTTGCTCGCCCGTGGCAACGATCCTTTAATCCGCGCCAAACTGTCCGGGATATTTCCTCCCTTTCGGCTGAAAAGTAGGCGAATAAAACTCCGCATTTTCTTTGCGATACGCACGTCCTCGGAAAGGGAATTTTCGTTTCGAATTTTCTTTTTTTCTTTTTTTTTGTTCGACGCAATGGACGATTGGAGTGCTCGTACTTTGCCGTTACTGAGGATATTATATAGAACGAAGATTGTTACTTTGGTTCAAGTCTAGGTTGAAGCATGAAAAGTGTATTTGAGATTGGGTGAAGATCATTTACAGTGGTTTGGTGAGAATTAGCTTAAAGTAAAGTGAAAAGTTTTAGGTGAATCTTGTGCAACTGTTTCTTCAACATCTTGTAGTCGATGGAAAATTCCTTTCTTTTTTCTTCGAATTCGAAAATTTTTTCATAATTTTTACCATTTACGATCAACGCCTTGAAGATCGACGTTTCTTCTTTGCAGCAACTGCTCTTGAAACTTGCTGTACAATCTTTTCACTTATCATTCTATCGAACTTTGAACATTGGGATTTCCCGAATTTGTCATTTCACCCTTAAATATCGTCTATAAGTAATTTTATTGTATGATAGTGAATTGTCCCCAAGTAAGTTTAAATTTCATTTTTAGATATTTAAGAATTTTGATTGCAAGGCAGTGTGCATGTCTATTCGAGTGCAAGGTCCGACTGTCCGTAATTATTGCTTTCGTCTGATTTCAGTCCATCAGATGCACAGTCAACGGATGCTCCTGCGACTCGTTCACGCCAGGGAAGCGGCATATCCGGTACTGCGACAGGTGCCACCACGGATGGGTGCCACACGGTGAGTAACTCGAATTTTTTCTCCTCCCCATTTACTGGAAACAAACGAAACGATGGGTTTATCTTGATCATTAACAATTCGCATATAAATTAGCTGGATAAATTAAAATTGTCCCTTTAGCGGTCTCAGTATAACTAACTCAGTAATACGATGAAATGTGACGTTGCAATCTAATAGAAAACGTATCAATTTAATTAATTTGTTTAGACGAACTTGCCATTTATTTACTGATCTTACTTTCGAATCATTCTGATGAGAAATTGTCCAATTTGGTGTTGAAGAATAAGTTCTTCTTGCATTTTTAATTTAATAAGTTTCTTTGAATTCGGTACAAAGACACCGAGTTAATTTCTGCTCTTTAATGATACATTTAATTTAATTTAAGAATAATATAATAATAATAATAACAATAAATCAACAATAATACATTTAATTTAATTTAACAATTTGATTTCAATTTATTTCTAATTCAAATATCAAACTTTGGAAAAAAAAACATTCCAATTTAAGAGAAAGCAAATCAGATCAGATCCATTCTCAGTTGACAGTTTTTCAATGAACTTTTTGTCGTTTTTTGATGAAACGAAACTTATAATATTACGAGAAATAATCTCGTAAACTACATCACTTGTTGTTAGTTATTTATCGTTCGTCCTCACTAACAATAATGAATACAATTATTATCCTAAGAAACATATATTTATATAGTGTGATTTAATATAATAAGTAATTAATATAATAATATGGAGTTTTCCATATAAAGTCAAAAGCAACATTTTGTTATGGACATGTTTAGACCTAACATCCGTTCTCAACCAACTCGAAATTTAACTACATTAAAATTCTATTGATCTGAACCAAATTTTAATAATCAAATGGACTTTTGCTATTTTATTGAGAATCTCCTATTATGTGAATTCTAATTATACAAACTATATTTGTACTCCGAGGTCCATGTGAACGGAAATTTTACTATGTTTCTGATTCAAATCAAACTCAAGTCCTAAAAAAAAAAAAAAAAACTTATCTAAAAGTTATCATACATAAAAGTTAAAACTGATCTATTAAAATAACTTTGAATTATTCAAAGAAATTACAAAAACGCAGAAACGATCGATGTTTCGTCCTTAACGACCAGTCGTTTCAATTACGCGATCCGCTTCTCAATGTATCGTGCGTCGCCGTCTTATTCACAAACCTAAGAGAAGATTCGGCGATCCGTTCACGATCGAGAAGTGGTTAAAAAAGATCCAAACCGGCATTTGGATCGCGTGCACCCGGTTAAACGCAAATTTTCCAACTGTCAGCATACTTCATCCGGGCGGCCCTCAGGGACGAAATTCAATTTTCCAAGGATGACCAGCGGTCGTCCCTTCGCGGCCGGCGTTTCCACCCTTCTCCGCCATGCGCGCGCGCGCGCACGTTTGCATACGTATATGTATATATATATATACATATGGAGGGGTGGTGCGTGGTTTATGTCCTCGTAAGTTTCAGAACGTGGAAGAGGAACGATCTGGTTCGTCGTTGATCAGCTCGTTCAGCTATGAAACGACTTCCAAAGCAGCACGCTACAGGGTGTAGCTCCTCGTTTGCGTAAAATTCTTCTGGTCTCGTTAAAATTAAGGTTAAATTGCTCGATCTTTTTTTCGAATTAAGACCCTTCGACGTTGACCACTTGCGCGGACCGTAACGAGTGACCGAAACCGTATACAACAACTCGTCGCTTTCTTTTTCTTTCGAACTCGTCGAGATGACGTCGCTGCATGGAAATCATTGTGAAGTAATAAATTTATTATTTGTTTTGCCTTAAACTTAAATATACTTAAAATCGAGAAAATGTCGCAATTTTGGGACAAAAAGTTCTCGACGTGCGTTGGAAGAGGTTAAGGGTCGTCTTCAGAGTTAGGTTGTCGTTTTGTGAAATTCAACAGATCCAATGATTTAACCTCTCCAATTCTTTTTAAATGACGACAGATTGTCTTAAACTTTTTATTCTTTCTTACAAGCAATTATATATATATAAAATTTATATTTATTGTATATAAATTATTATTATATATATATATAAATTAAATTTAAAAAATTTATATTTATTATATATAAATTATTATTATTATGTATATATAAATTGAATAAATTATATATAAATTATTATTATAAATTATTATTATATATATATAAATTAAATAAATAAAATTTATATTTATTATATATAAATTATATATATATATTATAATTTATATTATATTGTATTAAATTTATATTTTATATATATATAGATAAAAATTTCTCGATATTTTTCTTACGAGAAGATCAAGACTGTATGTTTAATGCATGGTCGACCGAGTCACCCTGTATATCGCGCGCACAAAGCACCGTATCGACGTTTAGGGGAAGATCTCGATATACGATGGCGTGTATCGCGCTTAAAATTCCGGCTGCTTGACCCGCGATAGATTGGACGCGCCGTGCCGCGGAATACATATCAATTTCAGGTTTCGACCATATCCCAGAGGGACGCAGTTGCATTTTCCTTCTGCGAGGTTCCTTTTTCCTTCGCCATTTCCTTCATCCTGGAAGCATCGCGAACAGGGGAAACAGTTAGGTGTGTCGTGAGAAAGCCTTGTTAGTATTTTCTTTACAGTTGAGTTTCATTTCAATTGTTCCTTTTGTCATTTGCACGAGTGATATTTATCAATTGTCTCCTTGTGCATCGATCTTGGTCGATCTTCATTTATTATGGTTACATAGGTTTCGAATTCTTCATTTCTCTTTTTCAATCAATCTTTTTTTTTTATTTATCTTGACAAACTTTACGTTTACGTCAAAGAGGAGCATTCTGCTATTATTCGGTTTTTGAGGACAATATTCTTCTTTAACATAACGTAATGTAAATATGGATGGAACAGTTTAAAAATAGTTACACAAATAGTTGCATGTGAGAAGAGCAGACTCGAGGAGTCTGTATGCGTGATTGGTTTCTTGGCGAAAGAAGATACTTATGTAAAAATGAATTAGACACGTTATTAATCGACAAGGTTATTAATCGAAAAATAGTATTGTGAGAATACTATCCTTACTCGAATTGACTTTGTATTAATTATATAACATCAATATAATTTTCTTAAATGGAAGAATTATTATTTGCATAATAATCTGGTTACTATAAATTTCAATATATCACGGTATTTATTGTAATTCATCCAGTCACGAGGTGAATGAAACAAATTTCATCCAATTTGCAGAAGATATTCGTAAAACCCCGTCATTCACGTCAAAAAGAGGACACCTAATAAGAATCTCCGTCACGATACGTAAATAAACGTCGAGTACGAGAGAGGCAGGTACCCGGAATTCCTCGTGCCAATCTTTCGACAGAGATCCGGCCATGGGCCATTCCATCAAGATCGCCTCGTACAAAAGACGATCTCCCAGTAATTGCTCGGAATCGGTCCCGAAAACGCGAACGAAGTCATTTCTCTTTCGACGTGGTCGATCGAGCCAGACGGAGAATTAGAAATGCTCGGGTAACCGGGCGACTTTTGTTCTTCGTCCACGGACCGGTTTCTCTCGCGCGACCGGCGAAAAAATCGACCACGTTTCGGCCGTAATTTCGACGATTCGTCGTTCGAAAAACGGCCGTTCGCTTGGCAATTACAAAATATATAGCTATTTAGTTGATATAGCCGTGCATTAACGATGATTTATTATATCACATAGGTCAAAATTAAAATTGAAATTAGATGAATATGATTCTTTGGCAGATAAGGGACCGTTCAGGATTTCTTGTCAGTATAAAGAAATGTCTATTGTCTTAGATTTGTCACACGAACAACGTCTCTGAACGCCCTCAGTGTCTATCATGCTTCATTGGTATCGTTATTGTCGTCTGTTACGGATCTGTTTATTTTATGGGGTCGAGGTACAATCAAACGTCAATCTTTCGATCGACGATCGTCAGAAATTACAATAAAATACTTCAAAATGATTGGTCATCATCCTCTAGCCAATGCGTATGAAATTGGTCCGCGAGCAGCGAAGGGTTGTTCTTACAATTTGAAATGCAAGCGAAAAAGAATGAATTTTTCTGTAACGAAAAAAATTAAGATTCCAATTTATCAGTAATTTGTGTTTGAATATATAGTAGCAAATGTATTAACATTTACTTGGACAAAACTTTTATCAAGAAATGATAAAATGTACCGTTTTCTTAATACATTGTTTAAACAAATGTAATGCAATACGTGATTAAATTTGTCGTTAAAAACGTACTAATTCCATCAATTTAAAACAAAAACTATGTCTTCAGTAATTTTCTGAGATATTTTACAAAATATGTTCGAAACTTACCAATCCAACTTTAAGGGTGGTTTCCACCCCTTCAACATCGACGCTTGCCGATAAGAAATACGTGTCAAATATTTTTTCGAAAATTACATTCATGCCAAATTTCATCAAGATGATTCACACTTCCTTTGCTAGTGCAAGTCCATCAAAAGATTGATAGTTTTATCTCGTTTTCATAATCACGACCGATGGACATTCTTCTACTATCATTTCATTTTCTGTATCTTGTTATAACTAGGATCAAATGCTCCGTCAAATTTAATTTAGTAAGAAATGTACCTGCATCATACAAGTTGCATATTTATCTTTAATAAATAATTCCATACGAACTTTTTGAATATAATTAAAAACACGTATTTCAATCCTCCTATTATATCAATATTGAACAAATACACTTGAAATTACTTGACTGAGATATTTTTACAAAATTCCATCATCAGTTCCTGTCTTCTTATTTGTACCAATTGATGTCGGCTAATTTATTAATTGTAGCTGTTACGATTGAATTAAAAATGGCAATTAAATTAAAATTGTATGTTTGCAATGATTTAGGACTATAAACACTTATTTAACGAAACAGCGAAGTTGTTATTGACAGCGTAACTTTCTTTCCAACGCAGTTTATTTTTATTTTATACGTTATTTATACATTTTCACTTTATCATCGAAACATGTAAATATTTCTATTTCGTTTCGCGCAGAATGAGCAATCAAGCTTGCAACAAACTGTAACGCTTCCGTATGTTGAGAACAATGTTTTAATTAACAAATTCAATACCAAATATGAATTTTAATTTCATTTATCGTATTTCTTTACAAGATAAAGTATTTTCATTGTTAAATAAAATATTTTCATTGTGAAACTGTAATTCAATTATATCGTGTGTTTTTAATTGACGTTGTTATTTTCACGGATGCTCAACTATGGTGGTAGCTTGTTGTTAATTATCCAGGATTAGTACAACTTTTGACTGTACTAGGATCACCTGCAATTATAAAAAAAAAAAACTGTCTTGCAAGTTTCTAGCGGCAATTTCACAAAAGTAACAATTGATAAAGACGTAAATAAATTTAATGAAAATAATAAATGCAATCATATTTTACTTACACGCTTACAATAAATATTCACAATTGGTAATAATTGGTAACTAAATAATAAGATTTAAAAAATCTCTTTCAAATTCTTCAATTTTACCAAGAATAATAATATGTAAAATATACTGCTAACAACAACATGTAAAATATAATATAATAATATATAAATATAATAAAATATAATATAACAATATAAATATAATAATATGTAAAATAGTTCCGCGAGTAGTTCCAATTCATTGACATTCTCATTCTAAGGAAATGAACAGAACAAACATCCACAGGACACCCAAATTCGTTTCAAATACTCCATCGAGTTAAACAATTGTTTTCCTTCTTTCAAATCCGCCGTTGGAACTTTACCGAAATTACGGCAAAGCCGGACAATGCTCGGACTAACGGCGGAGAGAAAGTGACGAAGGAAGAGTGACCGGCCGGTTTTGGCCATTCGGCGAATTAAAGAGTTCGTCCGGTGGTTCGTGGAAGGAACGCGGGGCCAACTCTCTCCCGGCTCTCCGCGGTCCTCTCGAAGGAACGCTCGTTGAACGCTCGTTTCGCAGTCCCAAAGGTGACAGGCCCCTGACGCGAGAGCAAGTGGCGAGCTCGTAAGGAATCACGGGGCTCCGGGGTTATAGTACACTGACAAAAGCCTTTTTAAATTGTAATGAGCTGCCAAAGAGTGAATTATGTGCCGTCCGAGTGGCATCGAGTCGTCGACTCTCGAGAAAGCAAGCCAGCCAGCCAGCCAGCCAGCCCCCATATAAAAGTCCACGCGCGCGTATACGCTGTATCCGGCATCCCCGTGGTCGCTCATCCACCCCACGTCATGAATATATTTACATTGATCGGCCGTCCCGGCATTTTTCATTTGCCCTGTTCGTTGTGTCAGCCGACCGCGGACGCTCTATCACCCTGCGGATACTTTATTTATATCGATGGGACGTGAGACTGTCTCGATACAGTTTTCATCGGAAATCCGCCCGCGTCGGAGTGCCCTCAGGCGAGCCGTGGCCTAATGATTCTTTCGATCTTTCCACGTGCCGGATAGAGCTCGGACAGAGTCACGAGCTCTGTCTTGTCACTGCTGTTGAATTCATTTTCGAATCTGCGGACTTCATAGCTAGATTAGGCTAACCTCTTGCCCTGGAATGACGTGTCACGCGCGTCGAAAGTATTTGGCTCGAAATTGCAATATTTTCTCAGTATATTTAATATTATATTTTTTAGTATTTATATATACTATATATATATTGTATTTATTTATAATAAATTATATTTTTTAGTATTTATATATACTATATATATATATATATATATATATATATATATATATATATTGTATTTTTTAATATTATGTTTGTTAGTATTTTTTATCATTAAGTATATTATTT